CACAGGCCTGTGCATAAGGTTCTCCCACGCGTCTATAGGCATGTTGACGTCCATCACTATGGGAAATGTTAAACCTGGACTCATCTGTAAAAACAACATTTCTCCACCAAAACAAGGGTCTGCGGACATGATTTCGGCACCACATTCGGCGAGCTTGTCGATGACGTTGTGTCAGGATAGGCCGTATGGCGGGACGTCGTGGTCTGATCCCGTGATGACGTAAACGTTGTTGAACTGTGTTGGGATGGATAAGTCCTGGGATGGTTCGGGCAGTCATCACTGCAGTCTGAAACCTGTGGCGAAGATGGGTCACCCTTATCCATCTGTCCTGTCTTGGCGTTGTTACACGTGGACGTCCAGAACGTGGCCGATCGATGACGTCATTTGTGTTCTGGTAGCGTCTCACCAGTGCAGAAATGGTGTTCTGGTGGCAGTGGAAATTGAGACATTCCCCCACGGACCATCCCAATGGCCTCATGACGTTGTGCAGACGTTAGCCTTGGCATGCTATGCGTTTCAATAGCCGCAGGGGTTGAGCTTTCCAAAGTGACAGTATTGTGTGGCATTCATTTGCTCTGTTTCTCTTTCCCGGAATGCACGTGCAACAACGTATTGCACGTCTCAAGGACGAACCCACTGCTGTCACGGAACGTGGCACGTGCATGCATGTTGGATACATGTCACTAATCTCTGAGTTTAAATCCTTATGTGTCTACACAGGTTTGATAAATTTAGATTTTAAATTTTTGTATGCACAGTTTCTTTATGTGCCTAGTATAGTTTCCAAGCTAGATTCAGACAAAGTGAAATACTCTTTAGCAAATCGAGGTGTTCGTTGGCTTTTTAACCCTCCCCAGGCTTCAATTTTTTAAATTTTTTTGGGGGGGGGTGTTTGAATCAATGATCAAGTCAGCGAAGAGGGCTATTTTTGCTATCCTTGGTTCTGGTGACATCACTGATGAAGAGTTGATAACTGCTTTTGTTGCTACAGAAGGACTTATCAACTCAAGTCCTCTCACATATCAAAGTGCACATCCTGGTGATGTTCCATTAACACCAAACCACTTTCTCCATGGTCAGTGTGGAGGAATCTTTGCACCAGATTCGGTAGACACTCACTCTTTCAGTCCCAGAAAGATGGAGAAGGGTTCAAGAACTAGTTCGACATGTTTGGAGAAGATGGATGAAGGAATGGCTACCTTCTCTCCAATGTAGAAGGAAGTGGTTCACTCCAAGCAGAGATCTTCGAGTTAACGATGTAGTGCTTCTCATTTCACCTGATGCTCCACGCTGTACTTTGGAACCTGGGGATAATTGTCAAAACATATCCTGGTTCAGATGGGCATGTGCGAGTCGTGGACATAAAAACTGAAAAGAACATTTTGACAAGGCCAGTGTCAAAAGTATGTCCATTAGAGGTAGCGACAGGGAATGTAGAGCGGGTAGATGGACAGGAAGAACAGGACCACAAGCGGGGGAAGACAGACGAAGAGGAAGGACAAGACAGATGAAGAGGAAGGACAAGACAGGTGAAGAGGAAGAATTATGGACAATGAAGGATGAGGAGAAACAGACATAAAGTGAAGTGAGTTTTGTGTAATATCTTTCTGAGATGTGATGATTCATATTCCAAAGGATTCCAGGATTGGTGTTATATCTGTGAATGTGCAATAATGTGTATGTATTTATGCTTGAAATGTGCTATAGTTTCAGATTTGGAATTGTGTGTGTATATTCATGTTTCGAAAATGTGCCTTTAATTTCATGTGGAGTATGTGCTTGATTCTTTGGACATTCTTTTGGAACTATTCAGAATTTCTATGAAGTCAAAACTTGTGAGTATGGTGTTTTGTAAAGTGATTGAAAAGCATTTTTTTTTCCTTTTCAGTGATGAAATATTGAACTGTTTCATGTTTTAGATTTTGATTTTTCGCTCGAATTCAAAATGATAGTTTTATCAGGGGAGGGGGGAATGGACAGAAGGACTCGCCCGAACACCTCCCGTTCATGGACATTCTAAAACGTTCGAGCGAACGCGCATTTGAAATGACATTTTTCTGCTGCATCCCGTGCAGATTAGCACGTGGTTACTACACTTCGGTTCTTGACTTGTATGAGAGCAGTCACACTTTGGATACTGTCTCCTTTGGTGTCTTTCTGATATAAATGAATGAATTTGAAGTTACTTTTGAATATTGTGTGTCTAATTTGTAGACATTATTTGAGAAACTTGAAATTTGATAGTTATTGAAGAATTCATTGAACGCATTAGAGATCACACATTTGGTGTCTCCTTTGAGTAGTGTCGTATTTGGACACGCCTTTGTTGAACTGTGTTGGGATGGATAAGTCCTGGATGGTTCGGGCAGTCATCACTGCAGTCTGAAACCTGTGGCGAAGATGGGTCACCCTTATCCATCTGTCCTGTCTTGGCGTTGTTACACGTGGACGTCCAGAACGTGGCCGATCGATGACGTCATTTGTGTTCTGGTAGCGTCTCACCAGTGCAGAAATGGTGTTCTGGTGGCAGTGGAAATTGAGACATTCCCCACGGACCATCCCAATGGCCTCATGACGTTGTGCAGACGTTAGCCTTGGCATGCTATGCGTTTCAATAGCCGCAGGGGTTGAGCTTTCAAAGTGACAGTATTGTGTGGCATTCATTTGCTCTGTTTCTCTTTCCCGGAATGCACGTGCAACAACGTATTGCACGTCTCAAGGACGAACCCACTGCTGTCACGGAACGTGGCACGTGCATGCATGTTGGATACATGTCACTAATCTCTGAGTTTAAATCCTTATGTGTCTACACAGGTTTGATAAATTTAGATTTTAAATTTTTGTATGCACAGTTTCTTTATGTGCCTAGTATAGTTTCCAAGCTAGATTCAGACAAAGTGAAATACTCTTTAGCAAATCGAGGTGTTCGTTGGCTTTTTAACCCTCCCCAGGCTTCAATTTTTTAAATTTTTTTGGGGGGGGGTGTTTGAATCAATGATCAAGTCAGCGAAGAGGGCTATTTTTGCTATCCTTGGTTCTGGTGACATCACTGATGAAGAGTTGATAACTGCTTTTGTTGCTACAGAAGGACTTATCAACTCAAGTCCTCTCACATATCAAAGTGCACATCCTGGTGATGTTCCATTAACACCAAACCACTTTCTCCATGGTCAGTGTGGAGGAATCTTTGCACCAGATTCGGTAGACACTACCTCTTTCAGTCCCAGAAAGATGGAGAAGGGTTCAAGAACTAGTTCGACATGTTTGGAGAAGATGGATGAAGGAATGGCTACCTTCTCTCCAATGTAGAAGGAAGTGGTTCACTCCAAGCAGAGATCTTCGAGTTAACGATGTAGTGCTTCTCATTTCACCTGATGCTCCACGCTGTACTTGGAACCTGGGGATAATTGTCAAAACATATCCTGGTTCAGATGGGCATGTGCGAGTCGTGGACATAAAAACTGAAAAGAACATTTTGACAAGGCCAGTGTCAAAAGTATGTCCATTAGAGGTAGCGACAGGGAATGTAGAGCGGGTAGATGGACAGGAAGAACAGGACCACAAGCGGGGGAAGACAGACGAAGAGGAAGGACAAGACAGATGAAGAGGAAGGACAAGACAGGTGAAGAGGAAGAATTATGGACAATGAAGGATGAGGAGAAACAGACATAAAGTGAAGTGAGTTTTGTGTAATATCTTTCTGAGATGTGATGATTCATATTCCAAAGGATTCCAGGATTGGTGTTATATCTGTGAATGTGCAATGTGTATGTATTTATGCTTGAAATGTGCTATAGTTTCAGATTTGGAATTGTGTGTGTATATTCATGTTTCGAAAATGTGCCTTTAATTTCATGTGGAGTATGTGCTTGATTCTTTGGACATTCTTTTGGAACTATTCAGAATTTCTATGAAGTCAAAACTTGTGAGTATGGTGTTTTGTAAAGTGATTGAAAAGCATTTTTTTTTCCTTTTCAGTGATGAAATATTGAACTGTTTCATGTTTTAGATTTTGATTTTTCGCTCGAATTAAATGATAGTTTTATCATGGAGGGGGGGGAATGGACAGAAGGACTCGCCCGAACACCTCCCGTTCATGGACATTCTAAAACGTTCGAGCGAACGCGCATTTGAAATGACATTTTTTCTGCTGCATCCCGTGCAGATTAGCACGTGGTTACTACACTTCGGTTCTTGACTTGTATGAGAGCAGTCACACTTTGGATACTGTCTCCTTTGGTGTCTTTCTGATATAAATGAATGAATTTGAAGTTACTTTTGAATATTGTGTGTCTAATTTGTAGACATTATTTGAGAAACTTGAAATTTGATAGTTATTGAAGAATTCATTGAACGCATTAGAGATCACACATTTGGTGTCTCCTTTGAGTAGTGTCGTATTTGGACACGCCTTTGTTGAGTTCATATTTTTGAACATGCCATTGAACAGTGTCATATTTGGACACACTCTTATAGTGTCATATCTGGACACTCTCTTATAGTGTCAATATTTAGAGACACATATTGTGTCATAATTGGACACATCATTATTTCTGTAAATATATTTGTACATATTGGGGATTATAAACTCTTGGGAATAAAAACTGTAAAAAACTACAGAAAAGTGCTCTGTTGTCCTTTGACTACGTAATTTACCAGCTCCCACTGCGTTCCACTGGCTGTTATGATCTGTTCGCGCAGCAGAAATGAATACTGTGTAAATAGTATTATTGTTGTCATTACAGATTACAGAGCAACAAAAAGTGTGTGTACTATTCATTTATACCAGTGCTATATGGGTAAAGTATTTGAAATACATTGTCTTTATTATACGCAATTTTATGTTATGTTTTGTTGTAAAGTACTTAGAAGTGGAATAAAATATAAAATGTCAAACTGGAGAAGTGCCATAACTCCTACACTTAATTAATTGGACAGTTCCAATCAATGCCCAGCAGGTAATTGCCAGGAGATTAGTGGTGCAGATGACCATTAACTTTGTTGTTTTAAGCTGTAGAAGTTTTGGCATGTAGACGTTTTGGGAGGACACTTGCCACCTTGTGGCCGCCGTTCCCGTCACTAGACCTTTAGCTTACATCAAGGTCCCAGATGGTTCTGGAAACACGAGACCTTTCCTGGGCACTGCAGACAGAATAGCATATGACTCCGACGAGGAATACGTCTATGTAATAGGTATACTCACCGGATAATACCGTTAAACTACACAGTCATGTCAGTATTGATATTGTTGTTATCGTGCTGTATGCAGTTCAGTATTACACATTCAGTCCCAAGAGTGAAACTATGATGAGGAAGATATCTAATGTGGTAATGTAACACAACTAGCACTGAGGGTGGGATTGTATACGACGGATTCTACGATACAGCCACGTACAACACAACTAGCACTAAGGGTGGGATTGTATACGATGGATTCTACAATACAGCCACGTACAACACAACTAGCACTGAGGGTGGGATTGTATACGATGGATTCTACAATACAGCCACGTACAACACAACTAGCACTAAGGGTGGGATTGTATACGATGGATTCTACAATACAGCCACGTACAACACAACTAGCACTGAGGATGGGATTGTATACGACGGATTCTATAATACAGCCACGTACAACACAACTAGCACTAAGGGTGGGATTGTATACGATGGATTCTATAATACAGCCACGTACAACGATGTTTTCTTTACAATACACTAGCACTAAGGGTGGGATTGTATACGATGGATTCTATAATACAGCCACGTACAACACAACTAGCACTAAGGGTGGGATTGTATACGATGGATTCTACAATACAGCCACGTACAACACAACTAGCACTAAGGGTGGGATTGTATACGATGGATTCTACAATACAGCCACGTACAACACGACTAGCACTAAGGGTGGGATTGTATACGATGGATTCTACAATACAGCCACGTACAACATACGACAAGCACTAAGGGTGGGATTGTATACGATGGATTCTACACTACAGCCTTGCACAACACAACTAGTACTAAGGGTTGCGTAGGGTGATTCCTCAGTGTAGTGATTGTCACACATCTAGCAAATAGGTTACATGTATGTTTTGGCATGCTGCAGGCGGCCGAAGTGAGACCCTACACATTGTGGATCTGCAGGACCCTAGCAACCCCAGCATTACCTTCTCTAGAACCTTCAGTGAAATCACGGACGGCATCCCAAAGGCAATCTCTCTGTGTCGGAGTGGCCAGGTTCAGCAGGTTGCCATTGCTTTCGCCTCTCGGACCAGGTTAAACGAAGGGCACGTTGAGGTTTTTAGGACGTTTCAAAGGTTTGATCAGACGCTCCCTCTGCTTGGAAGAGTGTCCAGTAAGTAGTTACCATCCTACAACCATAAACTTATAAAGCCGAAACTAATTTCATGCGACATTAACATTGAATACAACGTTTTCAATCAATTACCATTGCAGCCGAGTCTGACCCTGTGGCCGTTGAGTTTGACAGCACGTGTACAAGGTTTGTAGTCGCGTGTGAGGGACTTCCCGGAAGCAGAGACAACAACTTTGAGGATCCCCTCGCCCATGTTGATGTATTTGAGAGGAATGTTGATGCATGGACAAAATATACAATCAATTTCCAGTAAGTAAGAAATTCGGTTTACCACCACAGATGCCTCCCATTTTTCACCTCAACTGTACCTCTTTTGTTGCTATATTTGTGTCACTTCTCACTGTACCTCTCTTGTGTTGCTACATTTGTGTTTCTTCTCACTGTACCTCTCTTGTGTTGCTACATTTGTGTTTCTTCTCACTGTACCTCTTTTGTGTTGCTACATTTGTGTTTCATCTCACTGTACCTCTCTTGTGTTGCTACATTTGTGTTTCTTCTCACTGTACCTCTCTTGTGTTGCTACATTTGTGTTTCTTCTCACTGTACCTCTCTTGTGTTGCTACATTTGTGTTTCTTCCTCACTGTACCTCTTTTGTGTTGCTACATTTGTGTTTCATCCTCACTGTACCTCTCTTGTGTTGCTACATTTGTGTTTCTTCTCACTGTACCTCTTTGTGTTGCTACATTTGTGTTTCTTCTCACTGTACCTCTCTTTGTGTTGCTACATTTGTGTTTCATCTCACTGTACCTCTCTTGTGTTGCTACATTTGTGTTTCTTCCTCACTGTACCTCTCTTGTGTTGCTACATTTGTGATTCTTCTCTCACTGTACCTCTCTTGTGTTGCTACATTTGTGTTTCTTCTCACTGTACCTCTCTTGTGTTGCTACATTTGTGTTTCTCCTCACTGTACCTCTCTTGTGTGTTGCTACATTTTGTGTCTTTCTTCCTCACTGTTGTGTTTCCTCTCTGTGTTGCTACATTTGTGTTTCTTCTCACTGTACCTCTTTGTGTTGCTACATTTGTGTTTCTTCTCACTGTACCTCTCTTGTGTTGCTACATTTGTGTTTCTTCTCACTGTACCTCTTGTGTTGCTACATTTGTGTTTCTTCTCACTGTACCTCTTGTGTTGCTACATTTGTGTTTCTTTTCCTCACTTGTGTGTTGCTACATTTGTGTTTCTTCTCACTGTACCTCTCTTGTGTTGCTACCTTTGTGCTTCTTTTCTTGTACCACCTCCTCTTGTGTTGCTACATTTGTGTTTCTTCTCACTGCACCTCTCTTGTGTTGCTACATTTGTGTTTCTTCTCACTGTACCCTCTCTTGTGTTGCTACATTTGTGTTTCTTCCTCACTGTACCTCTCTTTGTGTTGCTACATTTGTGTTTCTTCTCACTGCACCTCCTTTGTGTTGCTACATTTGTGTTTCTTCTCACTGCACCTCTTTGTGTTGCTACATTTGTGTTTCTTCCTCACTGTACCTCTCTTGTGTTGCTACATTTGTGTTTCTTCCTCACTGTACCTCTCTTGTGTTGCTACATTTGTGTTTCTTCCTCACTGTACCTCCTTTGTGTTGCTACATTTGTGTTTCTTCCTCACTGTACCTCTCTTGTGTTGCTACATTTGTGTTTCTTCTCACTGTACCTCTCTTGTGTTGCTACATTTGTGTTTCTTCCTCACTGTACCTCTCTTGTGTTGCTACATTTGTGTTTCTTCCTCACTGCACCTCTCTTGTGTTGCTACATTTGTGTTTCTTCTCACTGTACCTCTCTTGTGTTGCTACATTTGTGTTTCTTCTCACTGTACCTCTCTTGTGTTGCTACATTTGTGTTTCTTCTCACTGTACTCTCTTGTTGCTACATTTGTGTTTCTTCCTCACTGTACCTCCTTTTTGTGTTGCTACATTTGTGTTTCTTCTCACTGTACCTCTCTTGTGTTGCTACATTTGTGATTCTTCCTCACTGCACTCTCCTCTTTGTGTTGCTACATTTGTGTTTCATCTCACTGTAACCTCTCTTGTGTGTTGCTACATTTGTGTTTCTTCTCACTGTACCCTCCTTGTGTTGCTACATTTGTGTTTCTTCTCACTGTACCTCCTTTGTGTTGCTACATTTGTGTTTCTTCTCACTGTACCCTCTTTGTGTGTTGCTACATTTGTGTTTCTTCTCACTGTACCTCTCTTGTGTTGCTACATTTGTGTTTCTTCTCACTGTACCTCTCTTGTGTTGCTACATTTGTGATTCTTCTCACTGTACCTCTCTTGTGTTGCTACATTTGTGTTTCTTCTCACTGTACCTCTCTTGTGTTGCTACATTTGTGATTCTTCTCACTGTACCTCTTTTGTGTTGCTACATTTGTGTTTCTTTCTCACTGCACCTCTCTTTGTGTTGCTACATTTGTGTTTCTTCTCACTGTACCTCTCTTGTGTTGCTACATTTGTGTTTCTTCTCACTGTACCTCTCATGTGTTGCTACATTTGTGTTTCTTCTCACTGTACCTCTCTTGTGTTGCTACATTTGTGTTTCTTCTCACTGTACCTCTCTTGTGTTGCTACATTTGTGTTTCTTCTCACTGTACCTCTCTTGTGTTGCTACATTTGTGTTTCTTCTCACTGTGTACCCTCTTGTGTTGCTACATTTGTGTTTCTTTCTCACTGTGTTGCCTCTTCTCATGTGTTGCTACATTTGTGATTCTTCTCACTGTACCTCTCTTGTGTTGCTACATTTGTGTTTCTTCTCACTGTACCTCTCTTGTGTTGCTACATTTGTGTTTCTTCTCACTGTACCTCTCTTGTGTTGCTACATTTGTGTTTCTTCTCACTGTACCTCTCATGTGTTGCTACATCTGTGTTACTTTTTAATGATCGAGACTTAACTGCAGCCTATGCTATTACCCCATTCTATATCCAATCACACGTATTACTTTCAGATGGCTAAGAACCAATGATTTCATAGTTGTGACTGTATGTTTTAGTAACATCTCAGCTCATGTCACAGTTTACCTACGGACAAAAGACAAATCTTAATCTAACACCAGTTCTCCGTGTATACTAGCCACAAAAGGAAACTGTGCATTTTCATAATGCTTGTAAATTTGAAACATTACAACAATGCAAAATGTCAATGTATATCTTCATAGGTGGCCTTTGATTATCATAAGTACAGTATGTCTAATGAGTCCAAATGAGCCCAAAAGCAGGGCAAGGGTCAGACATCAATGTCACAAACTCAGTAACGGGCATGCTCACCGCGAGAAGCGAGAACAGCAGTGCATCACTAACGCGTTGAGTCTATCAAATGAAGGATGTCAAATAATGAACTTCCAAATCATGAACGTTATCTGGTCGATTTGGTACACGGTGTAGATGTCGGTCCATTTTATCCCACAAATGCGGAAGATTCGGTGAATTTGCAGGCCAAGGCAGACCTTGAAGATCGTGTTGTTGAAAAAAGCCATAGCAACCGTTATCATGTGGTAACAACTAAAGCGGTTCTCTGTCGCGCACTTATCCCACCCCGAAATCATCGCAGAACCACCCAAAGCAATTTCTCCCCATGACCCAGGTTTGACACTCTTCAAGACGTGTCAATTCTGGACTCGTCTGTAAAGACAACAGTTCTCCACCACAACCGAGGTTGACGCACATAATTTCGTCACTATCTTTGACGTCCGTAGCCCGTAATGACGTAAGCGTTTCCTGACTTGGTTTGGTCTGAGCTGTTGTCATTGCAATGTGGAACCTGTGCCGGAGATGGGTAACCCACGTCCACCCGCCCTGTCTTGGCGTTGTGACGCGTGGACGTTCTGCACATGGGCAATCGGCAACTTCATATTTGTTCTGATAACGTCTCTCAAATGCTGCATCAGTGGCAGTGATAACGCGCAGTCATCTGGTTTTAAGATATTCCCCATCGACCCAATAAACTCGTGACACTGTGCAGTAGTGAGGTGTGGTATGGTGTGCGGTTCATTAGCCGTATCATTGTGTGGACGATGAAACAATACACAATCAAGCTTCCCAAAACGACAGCAGTTTTTGACATTCATGGGTTCCCTGCAACTTATAGAGGTGCACAAGCGTTTTGCCAAATCCGAAATCACAGACGCCACCAAACGAAGCACACACATATGTGTTCAGTTCAATTCTGAAATTACTGTGTTTAGATCTGTATTTGTTCCAGTGAAGTTCCAATATATATATATATCTTTCTTTATAAATATATATTGATTTCCAATGTGCACAGTTGCCTTTTGTGGCTAGTATACATAGCAGTTCTGTTCACTGAAATACCGATACATAGTTTCTATATAGTCATGTTCATAAACATCAATTCCATTTACAATGTAGATGCACTCTCCTAACCTGATTACCGAATCCATCCTTTCCTCTTCCTTGACTGTAAACCCGCTCTATATATGGTGTATTCATGATCTGATGCAGTGTCCTTTGACTCTGTGTTATTGGACGCTCAGCCTAAAAGGTGCAAAGACGTATTGTATAAAATTTCAAAATACTAGTTTTTATTATTATTTATTATTGTACCGTTTCTTAGGGGGTTTTCTGTACCAGAGATAACTCAACATCCACTGGCCAATATCTTTTTAAAAAGTCAATTAATTTGGACCAGAATGTGAAGCCGCTATCACATAAATCCCAAGGCTAAATTATTGTGTGCAGATAAATCTAAATTCATTCACTGAAAGCAACCTTAACAGCACCCATCAATAGTTGGCAGCTGCATCAAACGCCAATCTTTCCCCTTCGAAGCCCCATGTTCCTAAGAAAGCATCGTATGGCTGCTAAATTGGCGAACATGGTGTCCATGATGTACTAGTATACGAGTGTACTATTGTATTTGCTGTACTTGTATACATTATGTACATAATGTACTAGTATACGAGTGTACTAGTGTATTTGCTGTACATGGTGAACATGGTGAACATGGTGTACTAGGGTAAATGGTGAACATGGTGTACTAGGGTACATGTTGTACTTGGGTACATGGTGTACATGGTATACATGGTGTACTAGGGTACATGGTTTACATGATGTACATGGTGTACATGGTGTACATGGGTACATGGTGTAGTAGGGTACATGGGGTACATGGTGAACATGGTAGAACTTGGTGTACATGGTTTACATGGTGTACATGGTGTAAAAGGTGTACATGGTGAACATGGTGAACATGGTGAACATGGTGTACTAGGGTACATAGTGTACAAAGGTACATGGTGTACAAGGGTACATG